TTTGAAGCTTCTTCATGTAGAATTCAAGCTCCTTGCCTTCCAAAATATATCTGTCAAAAATTTGCAAAGTTTCAGCAACATTACCCAAAAACTATTCCACACCTTCAATGATTGAGCTCAACAAGTTTGAAAGAACACAACAGAATCAAGAATCCTTATGAGATTCATAATGCTTACCCATCTGCTCGGCCACATTGACCAGGTCTTGATGAGATACACGCCATCAAACGACCACTGCTGAATTGTTCTTCAATGTGTGGGTCAAGCTTACGATCCTGCTGACGTTTCTCTATTTTGCGCTGCACGTGGTTACTCTTCTTTACCTCCTCAGTGGCAGCATCAGCTTCCTATCAACCATTAAAATTAAGTAGTGTTTTGGATCAAGTGTTGTATCATACATATTAAGAATGCCATATCATTATCCATCAAAATTAAGTTGTGTTTTGGATCAAGTGTTGCTCTACCTCTTCCTTCTTAGAAGATGTTGCGGTCTTCTTCTTCCGTCCAATATCCACTCCATAATGCTGAAGATACCACTGCTTAAATGGTGCTGCATCAACTTGAACGATGGCACTCTTCACCAAAGTTTGAGTACGAACAAGCTCATTATTAGATGCATTGTAGACCACATCAAGAATACGGGACTTTCTAGTCACAGCCTCACTACCCCAAGAGTAGTTTCCAGTATCAAGCCTAAAAGCTCTCCACTTGACATTTCCCCCACGAACTCTAATTCTCCGGATTGATTTATCACTGGATATCTTGGTGTTGGCAGGTTGCCTGCCGAGCTCATACCTTTACAAACAAAGGGAAAGAGGCAATATCAAAAGGACTGCAAAAACATGAAAAGAAAATGAAAGTTGTACCTTGAATCGACATAAATTTTTCGGTGATATATTTTATTATGATTTTTTCGGTGATAGTTTTACTTGACTCAAAGTAAAACTAACTTACAAAAGGAAACATTTCAACTTCTACATTGTAAAACATCAAACTGTAACACAGCACAAATATTCAAAGAAACTAGGTTTCTACATCAATAAGAGAAATTGTGCCGTTCATTAAACAAATGTGAAAATGTAACATGGGACGAGCAATTTATTTAGAACAGAAATATACAAAAATCAACCAGAGGAGATTAGATAAATAATGCAGATTAATCGAGATTATTGAAATATATATTGGAAAAGATAACGAACGACGAACTCTTGCCACCAATTACTTCACCAGTTATCCACAAAAATAATAATAATAAATATCTCAGCTAAACCTACAAATCACCGCAAAAACCAAGCATACAAAGAAAAGTACAAAATGTTGGCAAAAAATGTGATGAAAGCAAAAACTGATTTCAAATTGCACTCGGCTAAATAGAACTAGTAATTACTTTCTCTTCTTCCTCCAGGCTTTCTTCTTGCCTCCTGTGGCACGCCTCTTGTGCATAGAATCACGAGAAATACCTATCAACAAAAAGCCCTCCAAGATTAATAGAAAGAAACAACAAAAAATTGAGATATGTAGATCAATGAGGAAAGTTGTGTCTAACATACCCATCTTGGCAAGATTAGAACTCTTGTCGTGAAGAGCAGTCTAGGGTTCCTGAAACAAACATCAAATAGCCCTCAAACCCTAAAACCTTACACTTCCAAGGAAAACATGAAAGATGTAGAGAAAGGGGAAAATCTATATAGGATGAGGAGTTCAAATTTGGGGACAAAAGTAGATTTCCTGAAGAGCCTATAGGCCTCCATATATTTTTCATTCATTTCATTTCATAATCTATATTCTTAGATTGGCCACATATTTCCAGGGTTCAGTTCTACAGTATAAGATGTTTTTGTTATATTGGGGCAAGAATGCTTTCATTGATTACTAAGGCTTTACAAAGTTTACATTAGATTCGTCAGGAAATATAAACATGATCAAACCGTTGATAGCAAACCAATGTCCCAACCCAACAGTTGGAAGAAAATTAATTGTTTAATTGACATTTTTTTAAAAGAAAACCTACGAAAAGTATTTTTAAACAAAATCATCCCACAAATTACAGTTAACCCTCTCAAAAAGCTCTAAATATCAGAAACACCAGAGAGCACTAATAACTATTTCCAAACTTAAAAGGTTCTCAAACTTAATTAAGACATCGGAAGTCATAAATGTTCTTACACCTTCAGAGTAATAACCTCCGATAATATAACCAGCTAACAAGAAACTAATCAGATCTCTGGCAAATTGATAAACCTAAAACCAGTCTAAAGTTGGAAATCAATAAAAAAAAAAAAAAATTGAACATTCACAAAGAGTATCCAGAATGTCAAAAACAGAAGAATTAAACCAGGCATTCGCCAAAACCACCTGGCTCGGTCTGGACAAAGTACTAAACACCAAATTACATAAAAGCGCATCAGTAATAAACGAAGCAGCGATAATAGCCATCCAATGACACCGATTACTAATAAATCTCCAATATTTAACATTGAAACAGCATTCTAAAACAGTGAGAATGAGAGACTGAGCAAAACAAACACTCAATTATGATTGCAACAAACAGACATCCAATAAAGAACTTGAAAAGAACAGAAGGCATTCAATCACGAACAAACCTTGAGCGACCGAGAGAAGTCGAGAGAGAGACGGAAGAGAGATTGAGAGGGGTTTTGATGCGGCGTGGGTTAGGTTTAATTAGCTTTCAGTTTGGGTTTTTCTGAATGGGCTGGGCTTTCCGTCTATCTACGCTTTCCGGCCTTTTCCAAGTCAAAGTCAAAGTCAAAGTCAAAGTCAAATCTTGATAGAGAGGTTCGTATACTCCACGGCCCGCTCTTGGTCTCGAGTAGAGAATTTCCATTTAAATGGGCAACAAGAAAATGAATGGGGAAAGATTTCTGTTCGTTAGACAAACGGGATTAGGGATGGGATTGTATTCATCGTCCCGTCCTCTCTTTTTCCTATAAAAATAATGGTATATTTATTTATTACAAATTATAATAAATAATTTTTTTTTTATTTTCTTGATATTACGGCTTATTATACTTTATATGAACTTGTGGGTTTCTTATAAAATATTAAGACTATGATTGGAATTGTGTGCAAAACTATATTGTAATACTATAATTTGATAATATATTACCTTATATTTTTATTTACATTTTTTTCTATGCTTTACAAAAGTTTGAATTTTATTTATTATATATATATAATTCTGTGTGAGAACTTGATTCTACAAAAATAAATGGAGAATTTCACGGGAATATTTCTTGGTCCCCACCTAGTATTTTTTTAGATTAAAAAAAAAATTAAGAGTACTATTGAAACATTCAAATGTTTAGGGGTATTTTTATTAAATTAGCATTTACTTTATTCGACTAAAAATTAAATCATGTATTTATTTAACTTCCATAAATTGAAAATATTGCCTTTTCAAAATTTAAAATATTATAAAAATTTAAAATATTATAAATTTTTATAAATTATAATAAAATGAACAAAAGGGGGTGTAGCTCATATGGTAGAGCGCTCGCTTCGCATGCGAGAGGCACGGGGTTCGATTCCCCGCACCTCCAGAATTTTTACTTTTTATTATCATTTTCACATTTTTCGCTGTACTAATTTAATTACGTTTCATTTAATTAATGCGGCGTGTCGCGCACGTGCAGCGAAACATACAAGACGTTAATTAATTAATTTATTCATTATTTTCCTCTTTTCTTTTCAAATATCAATTTCATGAAAAAATAAATAAATTATAAAACGTTATTAGAAGAAGATCATTTTTTTTTGTTTAATTTTTTAATTTGAATTTTTTTATTTAGTTTCTAAATTTTAGAAGTGTCAACTAAATATTTTATTTTCAATTTTATATATGTTATTAACCTATTCAACTAATTTTATTAAACATAAAATTCAATTTTTTTTATCATACCTATCAATTAATCTTTAAAATATATATATATATATATATATATTATGAATTTATTATACATTTTTTTAGTTAAAAGCACAAAATTGATTTTGCAAAAGGATTGCAATTATTACCTTTCGTTTAAAAAATCATTAGAAAAGTATTGTTTTTATGTGTTGGATGAATTACTAAAATTGACTTCATAATAATATAATACAAATGTTTTGTTTATGTATATTTCTATTATTTTTTTTTATTACAAATTTTATAACACAAAAATAAGACTTAATAATAATATAATAGAAAGTAGACTCTAAATTTCCACGTGTCACTAATGTCTCATGCTTATCTTTAATGTGAAAATATAACTCTTAAAATGAACATCATTTATAACATAAATTTCAAAAACACGGTTAAAACAACTTCTCTGAAAAATACAACTATGATGTTACGTATTTAAATACGAAATACTAAAATTTAGAGAAAATAAAAATAAATACAAAATAATCTAAAACAATAAAATGAAAAACAACCTATTCTAATCTAATATCAACTTAAATTTTGTAAAATTTGTAAGGAAAGATTTTTCATTTCATTGTGTTATAATTTTGCATAACCAAAATAAACCTATTTTCAAAGTACAACTGAGCACAAAAATACTAAAACATTTCAAAATAATATCTAAATTTTTTTCTTTTGATATCCATATTGTCTCATCATCTTGCCAACAACTAGACTAATAAAGTTATGAGAACCTGGAAAGAAAGAATTGAACCAATTTAGTCCTATTAGTAGACTATCATCATAATAGCACTGTAGGTGCTAAAAGGTTTACAAAGAATACTTCATTTGAAACCTAAAAATAACAACTAACATCTAAACTATCCTAAAAACCTCTTTTTTTTTTTTTTCTTAATAGAGTTCCCAAACTCCACTTTTTATTGATTCAAAGGAACTTTTTTCCCCTTTCCTTTGAAAGATCTGCACAAACTCTGAACAAGAGTCTCTTTAATCTGCACAAGATCTTGAGAAAGTCCTTTCCTGATTGTTATTGCAGCAGTTACCGACTTAAGCAGTTATATTTTCGACCCTGTACAGTTTACCATATATGAGTACCTCAATTCTGCAAGGATGCTAGTTTCCTCATTGTAGTCGATTCTATTCGTCGGTTGCTTCAGCACGAACTCTGTTGTATGAACGATATATTGTGGTGGATCTACACATCTGGGGTTCTCTTAGTAGAACAGCAATGAGATCTTTGACAGAAATACTACGAGCCACCCTAGTTTGAGTTTCATTGATTTGGGTGCTACCAAGGCTTCTGCTAGTTCCTGAGAAAAATCAAGATGGATGGGGTTAAAATATTGCTTATTTTCTTTTTCCTTTTCTTTCTTCTCTCTCTAATTTAAAAAATGCGATCAAACAGAAAAGATAAGTGAATGATATTCTTAGACAAATTATAAACTATGGCTCTATTTGATTGCTATTTGGTTTTAAAAATGAAGTTTGTAAACACTACTTATTAGCCTCATCCTCATGGTTCATCCTTCCAAGGGGAGTTCTCTGCCCAAGCTTCGTCCTTTTCATCTTCTCCTTCATTTCTCCTTTTTCTTTGTCTTTCTTCTTTCGGTTAGGAATCATGACTCAATGGTATTGATATTGTCCACTTTGAGCATAAGCTCTCATGGCTTTGCATACCAATGGAGATGTATTCCTTACTTATAAACCCATGATCATTCCCTAAATTAGCAATCGTGGGACTCCCTTCCAACAATCCTCAACAATACTCAACAATTAGCATGTCTTCTTTGTCTTCTCCTTCCCTCCTTCCCTCCTTCCCTCTGCTCGTTCGTTTTCTCTCTTCCTCACACAGTATGTGACATGCGTTTCTTCTTTACATAGCATTCATCTTCTTCATCTCCTTAGTTTTCCCCTTTCCATCATTAGCTCGATCGTCTTCCCATTAGCATTAGAAGAGAACACGACCTTGGCTATTGAGGAAAAAAAATGAGTACGACGGTTGGCCATTAAAGCATTGTAAAAATGGAATTGTACATTAGGTTGATTCCTACAAAAGTCAATCCAATGGGTAAAGGTAGTGTAGCTACTAAAAAGTACGTCAGAGAGGTGAATGACATCTTGAGAACTTGGGAGAACGAACCAGAGGGAGTAGGGGGGAAGTTTGTGAAGACAAACAAGATATTGAAGTTATCTCATGAAGATAGTCTGATGGAACGTTAGAGGTCTTAGTGCTCCCTTCAAAGAACAATTGTTAAGGAGCCCCGGATGTTGTGATTTTTCAAGAAACCAAACGAAGGGAGGTTGATAGGAGGCTAGTGAAATCAGAGTGGTCTTCTAGAAGAATTAATTGGGTTGTCCTAGATGCAATTCGCTCTTCAGGGGTATCTTAATCATGTGAAAAGAGGATTTGCTATAGTTGAAGGATGTTATACTGGGAATTTTCAATTTCTATTTGATTTTACCTTTAATGGTGGTATCAATGGCTGGTTAACGAGGGTCAGTCTATGGGCCTTAGAATGGAAGGTACAGTATAGGGTATGGTTTTGGCAATAGTTATACAATGTTGCAGGCCTTTGTGTGGATTGTTGATACATTGGAGGAAATTTTAATATGGTTAGGTGGATCTCTGAGATGTCTTAAAGTGATAGAGTAACAAAAGGAATGAGGTTCAATGATTTCATTCATAGCATTAAGTTGTTTGATTTTCTCGGTCCAGACAAAGGGCTAGGCCCTCGAGCTACAGAAAATATTGATTCCTAGACGTGGTTGGCTTTTTTTGATTTGCACACTTGCTGGAGGCTGGAAGACAAAGCTGGGACCCTTTGGAGATTCGCTTCTAGAGCTCTTTTGTGGAGTTTGTGGCTGGAGAGAAATAGAAGACTTTTGAAGACAAGTCTTCGTCTTTTGAGTTTTTTTGGGATTGTGTACAGTTAAATACCTCTTGGCAAATTCTTTTGTAATATCCCTCTCTCCATTCTTTGGATTGGCAAGCTAATTGTATGTAGTTCCTTGGGTGGGGGCTTCCTCATCCAAATGGGAATTCACGATTGTTGTCTCTAAAAACAAACCTAGTTATAACGGTTGGATGATGAAAGTCCCATATCGGCTAATTTAAGGAATGATCATGAGTTTATAATCAAAGAATACTCTCCCGATTGGTATGAGGTCATTTGGGGAAGCCCAAAGCAAAGCCATGAGAGCTTATGCTCAAAGTGGACAATATCATACCATTGTGGAGAGTATAAAGTAGTGTTTATCTAACATGTTATCAGAGTCATGCCCTAAACTTAGTCGTGCCAATAGATTGGTAAATCCTCAAAAGTCAAACAAAGGACTCCAAAAGAAAAAAAAGTCGAGTCCCTCAAAAGTCAAACAAAGGACTCCAAAAGAAAAAAAAGTCGAGTCTCGATTAAGGGACGGCGTACTTTGTTTGAGGGGAGGTGTTGGATGATTAAAGTCCCACATCGGCTAATTTAGGGAATGATCATGGGCTTATAATCAAAGATCTCTCCATTGGTATGAGGCCATTTGGGGAAGCCCAAAGCAAAGCCATGAGAGTTTATCACTCAAAGTGGACAATATCATACTATTGTGGAGAGTAAGTAGTGTTCATCTAACAATAACTTCCACATCCTTTTATGATGTCACATGGGATAACTGTGGTCCTTTCTTTTTTTTCTTTTTCTTTTTTGGATTAGATGGGTGGCAAAGTGGACTATATAAGCATGTGACTTTAAGAACCAGGACTATATAAGCATGTGACTGTAAGAACCAGGACTATATAAGCATGTGACTTTAAGGTGTGACCTTTTCTCACCTTTTTGGTTGTCCTTCCTACATCTTCCTGCTGCTGATGAAAACTTACGGACAGCATCATTCCCTGACTGAGAACCAGAGGCTGAATCCATTCTACCTTCACGTTTCTGTCGTGCCTGCTCAGCCATAAGTTGCCATTTTGATAGCATGTCATCTCCTCCAAAAGCAGCACGGGCAGCAACATTTGCTGCTGTTGTCCGCATTTTATCGTCCTCTTTGTTTGCCTAAACCACAAAAGAAATCAACACAAGATTCCTAATCAATCAAAAGGTCATAGTTTAGTCTCAAGTGGTAAACTCTCTATACCTTAACTGATTTCATTCGACCTTCATCTTTCTCCGTGTCAACAGCAACCGTCTGACCATCCTCAGGCTGCATCAAAAAAGAAAAAAAGTTACAATCTTGCAACTGAAAAAGAAGTAGAAGAAGAAGAAGAAAAACACATCCCGAGGTAGAAAGGGAAAGAAAACTCTTTTCAACCACACCTGCTGGAAATTATGCTTGGTACAATTATTATATTGTGTTTTGACATACCACATCCCATAAATATTTGACAAACGAGCTTCGCTTTGCAAAGCTATAGGGAATATTTTTTTCATAGAGGAAAGACTGTCAATAAAAAAATAGAGATGATTTTTGGAAAAAATGAAGATAGAGAATTAAAAACCTACATCAAACAAATAGAGACAGGCTCAACAAATGTACTGCAGCTTTTCCTAAATCCTACGTTTGATAGCTATACATGAAGGATGCAACTGTACAGCCCTGGTTAGACTGTAAGCAGGGAAAGCAAAAGAAATGCTAACATCATTAAGCCTTCGGAGTTCTTCTCCTTCACCCCGTTTCTTCTCCCATTCTTCTCTGGCCTTTTGGTTAGCTAACGCGATTTGTTGTCGAACATTTGAAGTAATAAGTGTTCGGTGCCTTGGTTTCTCGGCGTCCACTCGCTAGAGAGATCAATAAAAAGTATGAACATGCAATAACATACAGCTTCCGGTAATATAGTACAAAACTGAGGGAAGCACAAGAAAAATAGAGTTGGAAATGAAAGAAAACACACCGACCTGCTTAGACAGCCTGATTAGATTACTAATAATCCCACGTAATCTTTCCTCCACACACTGAAGATACAGTTACTGTCTTTAAGGCTGTTAATACTTCACCTGAAAAAATGATCAGAGCGACTAGCATCTTACCAATGAGAGACATCTCTCAACCTCATTGCTCATGCCCTTCAAACCGCATTTAGCAACTGCCACATACAAACACACCAATCAGCATTTAATCAACCACTGTAAGAATGATGTTCATTCTGCTCAGTTAATGCAAATAATATATATATGAGACAATTTCATTGATGTTTGAAATTTACAAAAGAAAAATATCTATGATGCTGATAAAAGATCTTCCCAATTAACAATGAAGGAGGTGTGCTTATACACCAAGAAATAGCATGGTAAACAACGTTGTCGAAGAGCCAGGTATGAGTTTGTGTCTTTTCCGTGAAAACTTTGATTTCACTCCTTCCAAAGATTTCAAAAGAAAGCCATAATGCGGTTGGACTATAACAAAGTCTTTGCATTCTTAAAAGGATGGTACGTTAGGACCATGTTGAGTAAATCTTTGACCTCCCTAGAAAAAGTAAGGTGTCATCTACAAGTGTTGAGAATCTTTATCCAAAAGTTATAAGGCATAAACAGATGATTTTGTGATTCAATGTCTCGCTTGCATAAAGGGCACCAGTTAGGAAATAGAGTCATATAAGACATTCTTTTTTTCTTTTTTGTAGGTTTTCATTTATGCCTAATGGCTGTGTACAATTTTCCGTTGGGAAAACTTCATCTTTTTTGGTTGATTTCATTTCAATATTGTCTTGCTTGTGTGGGGTTTATGAAATTTGACTTTTCCCCCATATCCATCATCGAGTCAGTCAGCACTAAGAAGTCATTTTGATGAGTCTACTTCTTGGGATAGTACTATTGGGGCAAGGTCAAGGCTTAATTCAACTCACTCTAATGTTTCGTTATCTTTTAGAATCCTACCAAGTTGTAGGTCTCAAAATTTGTTCACCTTTCTATAGTTCTTTAATTGTAACCGCCTTGCAATGTGAGAATCTGTACAAAAGAGGATACCGCAATGACAGCGTGGTGTTGTCGATTCAAGGGTTAGTCCAAAAATATGTATTTCCTTCATCACCCACCCTATGGCGAATCCAGTTGGTGATGAATTTTTGGTGCTTTTTTATAAACTTCCATTGTTCCTTTGCCGAAGGAAGGGGAACAATTTGTACACGAAGTAGGAGAATATTCCGTTGTTATAAGGTTCCTCCACAAGGTGGTGCCTTCATGGAAATACATCCATATCCATTTGGTGAGGAGGCCTCTATTTTTCTCCTTCATCGAATATAGACCAAAACCTCCCTTGTCTGGCAAGAGATTGATGGTATTCCATCAGACAAAATGTAGGTCACCTTTCCACATATAGTTTCTGAATAATATTTCTATTTTTCTAGTCATTTTGTAAGGCACTTCAAGCAGAGACATGTGATAAGTAGGAAGATTGGACAATGTGTCTTATATTAGGGTGAGCCTTCCACCTTTAGATATATAGCTCATGATCTCTATTTTTTGGAGGTTGATTTTTGTAATGAAAACTTTCAAAGGTTTTCACTATCTCAAACATGTTTTTTGTGGGGGAGAAATCGGTTAATTCAAAGATGAGGATTATGTCATTTGCAAAGTATAGGTGGTTGATACTTAAAGCCTTCACTACTGCCAACATTGAAGCCCTTTATCTTCCCTTCATATTTTTCTTTTGTAAGAAGCAATTAAGACAACCCATTACCATTATGAAAAGAAAATGGAATACTGGATCCCCTTGTGGAAGACCCCATGTTGCATAAATTTTCCTCCCAGTCTTCCGTTGATGATAATGAAGTAGTTTGTGGAAGAAATGAAACCTTTTATCCACCCCTTCCATTTTGATCCAAAACCTTTTGTTACAAGAATGTTTCAAGAAAAACCAATAAGCTCATTTGTCGAAGGCTTTTTCTATGTCAAGTTGAATGATTGTACCTTTTTGTTTCTCATTTTCCATTCATCGATAAGTTCATTTGTCAGAATGGATGCATCTAGGATCTGCCGTCCCTCTACAAAAATGGTTTGGTCAAGAAGAGCTTTTTGTAAGGATCTGGTTTCTTTTTCTAGAAATACAATGAAGACCTTATTGTTTCATTTCTCGATGAATTCTTTGAGCCCTTCGAGTTTGTTAAAGAATTTGTGCTCCATACACCCACGAAGGGGCGTGTTCTTCCACCAGTATTCAACCATGGGCAAAAAATCAGTCTGCTCTAACCACATCAAAATGGAAGGGCGAAGGGCCTCATTTGAATCAACCCATAGAAAGCACAATGGAAAAATTATCTAATGTCGGTCTGTTAAGTCATTGGACTCCTACATTACTAAACTTTCCTAGGAGACCTAACCAAAACTTGTCAATGAGTGCCAGGGTGGACGGGGATCTGTTATCCAGCCAAGAATAAAGACCATACTAAGTGGAAGATAAATGAGATCAGCTTCTCTTATGAAATTATTGAAAAGTCTCAATCCCCTTAAAACTTTTCCACTAAATTTTTTATGTGCCCATCGACAGGTATTGAAGTCACTGGCCAACATTCAACTTTTGGGCAAAAGCAAGAAAGGTCCAACAATTCCTACCAAAAGACAGGTGCTTCTTGGTATCTGCAGGGATCATAGATCCTATGGTCCCTGATCCATAACTGTAACCGTCAGCCAAAGAAACATGTGTGGTTAGAGTGTACAGACATTTGGCGACTTTGGAGATGATCAAAGTTGGATTATTCCACATCATTAAGATCCCCTTGATGTTTGGAAGTATCCAAAGATGTCCTACCTATATGTCTAGCACACCAAAGGAATTTAACAATCCAACGGTTGACAAAATTCAATTTTGTTTCTTGAAGAATGATCATTGTAGGGTTGAATTTGAGGAGGGTCTTGATGAGGACTCCCCTGCCAGTCTCCCAAGCCTTTAACATTTCAAGAGATGATAATAAAAAAAATAGTCTGGATCACTCGATTGAGTCATGTTGGATTTTTATCATAATTGACGTTCGAGAGGAGGCCCACAATCTCTATAGTCAATTCGGCTCTGTTTCTCAACTGTAGTGGGCCTTTTCTTTGTAGATGGAATGGCCATTAAGCTCATGCCGTGTTCTTTTAGGCATGGTGCCAGAATTTAGACGGTTGCTATTGTTGTGAGTTTCACTGAGATTAGAGGACTTCTTATGCCTCCGTTTCGCTCTATTTTTCTAGAACATTGTCAAGCTCTGTATTTAAGAGGATAATCTCTGGCGGTGGGAGAGAATGATTGGATAATCCCGCAATATGAGATGGAGGGGAGTGGAATGGGGAAGAGGACTAGAGGCGTACTCCTCGTTGGAGTCTAGGTGAGGCCAAGGGTGGAAAATTTTGTTCCTCGGACTAGGAATGTTTTTTGGTTTTTAATGGTGATGATGTCACAACTTGTGGATTGGGAAAGAAAGAGGTAATAAATCGTATGTTAAGATGGGTGGGTGTGAAGATCGAATAGTGAGGTGGGGAACGGTGGCCTTTGTTGGAAGAAGGAATAGTGAAAGAGATATGAAAAGATAGAATCGATGAAAGCTGCCGTGCTTTATTATTACTTAATACTTAGAGTATTATTACTTAATACTTAGAGGGTTACATAATTACAGTATTTATACCTTACCAGAAATAGTAAATCATAAATCTAGATAAATTCAAATCTACTAACAATCTCCTCAAATCTTGGTAGTTTGAATATTTGAATCATATCTCAATTATTTTAAATCATATCTCCACTTTGAATACTTTGAATCATATCTCAACACTCCCCCTTGATTCAAAGTTTCTAATGTCAAGTACCGAGCTTTTCTTTCGACAAGGCCTTCGTAAGTATGTCTGTTTTAACCCGTACAATGCCTGTCTCAGCTTGTATATCTTTGTTTTTTTGTCTTCCTTTATGAATCCCTCTGACGGTGTTACACAACACTCCCCCTTGTAAATCTCCATCAACTGATAAACAGGCCACCGCAATAGGCTGCATGTCCCATGTAAATCTTCATAGATCTTTTCGTTTGGCAAGTCAACCATATCCCATGTTCCATTTTTCTTAACGGACTGCAACTCTACTGCCATAGCTTTCTTCCCGTCTTCTTTCAGTTGCTTCTTCATAATTCATAGGGTCTGAAACAGTAAGAGAAAATTGACATGATGCACATATGTCAGCTAAAGATTTATACTTTCTTGAAGGTGTCTCATCCGAAAGTTCTTCAAGAGAAGAATCGCTGTTTAGTGATGCTGAAGATGATGAATTTGACACATTTTGTGTTGCAGTGGAGGCACTAGGAGATGCACTGGAGTTGACCCTTGTCTCTTTGTTTGGAGGAACTTCAACTGTAATCTTTCGCTGCTCCTGTTCTTTACTCCAATCCCAACTCGTGTTTTCATTAAATATTATATCCCTTATAACTAAAATCTTTTCACTGATGTGGGCATATAATTTATATGCCTTTGATTGAGTACAATAGCCAATGAAAATGCATTTTTCAGATTTTTCATCAAGCTTTAGACAAACTTGAAGATGTTTCAAAGCATAAGCAACACAACCAAAGATTCGTAAATGACTTACATATGGTTTCCTTCCATGCCATGCTTCATAAGGAGTTCGATTCATAACAGCCTTTGTTGGTGAGAGGTTTAATAAATAAACAGATGTTGCTATGGCTTCTGCCCAAAATTAGTTTTGAAGTCTCCTTGCTTGTAACATACTTCTTGCCATCTCACAATGGTTCGATTTTTTCGTTCAGCGATTCCATTTTGTTCTGGAGTGTAGGGAGCTGTTAACTCCCTTTGGATGCTCTCTTCTTCACAAAAGAGATTAAACTTTTTAGATATGAACTCGCCACTTCTGTCTGTGCGAAGAACTTTATTGTGACGGCCACTTTGGTTCTCCACCATAGCTTTAAAAATCTGGAACTTCTGAAAAGTTTCTAGGAAGTAAACCCAACTCATGCGACTATAGTCATCCAAGAATAGCAAAAAGTATGTACTCCCACCCAAGGACTTCGTTTGCATTGGCCCACATGAATCAAGCATGAATTAGTTCTAGATAATGTGAAGCTCTTTTAGCTTTTCCAACGGGAAAGGACTTCCTAGTCTGCTTGCCATAAATGCATCCTTCACACAAATTAGTTGAATCAATTCTTGGTAATCCGAAAACCATAAAAACCATACTTTTATCCTTGAGTATTTTTAAGTCGTTCATATGAAAATGTCCATATCTGAGATGCCATAATGTTGAGTCTATCTTTCGTGCTAGCAGTAAGATCAAAATCCTCCATGTTAGAAACATAAAGTGGAAACATCTTATTTGAAGTCATGGCAATTTGAACTTTAATGGCCTGATTTCTTATGTGTAATGACACATGTGTTTGTCATCAAATAGAACTGGATGTCCTCTTGTCATCAATTGTCCAACACTCAATAAATTGTACCCTAAATCAGGTACAAATTGAACATTATCTAATTGTTTTATCTTACCAAGATTAGTTTCGACTTTCACTGTACCTTTTCCCTCAACTTGCATCTCTTTTGTGTTTCCAAGTTGCACCTTAATTTTTTTGGTCTCATCAAGCTTTTTGAATAAAGATTTGGTGTCTGTCATATGGTTCGAGCATCTGCTATCAACAAACCATAAGTCACCCCTTTTTTGGATTAGTATTCATGCACGCCATAAGCAGCTTTCCTCCTTCTTCATTCTCTGCTGCAAAATTCATTCGTTGATTTTTATACCAACAAGCAGATTTTGTGTGCCCATACCTTCTACAATGGTAACATTGTATGACATTCCTTTGTTCATTGAATTGTCTCTGTCCATCACTTCTCCATCTACCCCTGTTATCACGACCACCATGGAGTTGCGAAATCTTCCTCTTCCGTCTTCTACCTGCTAAATGAATATTTTCTCTTTCGTTGTTTTCGTGGTTGGTTGTCTCCTTCACTTGAAGTGCCTTTTCTTCGTTCTTTTCTGATGATCTATTGATTCTTGCCTCATGAGCCTGAAGCGAGCCAATCAGTTCATCAACGGAGAGTATGGATAGATCCTTAGCTTCTTCTATGGCAGCCACCACATGATCAAACTTTGGAGTCAAGCGTCTTAACACCTTTGCAACAATTGTTTCGTCTGAGATTTTCTCTCCATACGTACGCATCTGACTGACTATTGTCATTGCTCTTGACAAAAAATCAGCAATTGATTCGTCATTCGTCATGAGTAGAGTTTCAAAATCACGTCTTATAGATTGCAATTTCCCTGTCATGACCTTTGAATCTCCTAAAAACTCCTTTTGTAGAATTGACCATGCCTGCTTTGATGTGGTTGCTGCTGCAATTCGTAAAAATATAGTCTCATGAACTGCTTGCTGAATAGTGAATAGAGCCTTGGCATCGTTTTTCTTGGTTTCTCTTAGTTTCTCCTTTTCTTCTATTATGGGTTCTAATACATCAACAAACTCGTGCTCCACCAAGTCCCATAGCTCCTGCGATCTGAGCAAGGCCTCCATCTTGATGCTCCACCACTCATATTTCTCACCATTAAAGATGGGTAACAACAATGCATAGGAAGAAAAACCAGCTACTGTCATTTTTGTTTTGTGAAAGAAAATAATCACTCGCCCTCGTGTCGAACGAACCTGGCTCTGATACCAAAATTGTTGGAAGAAAGAATAGTGAAAGAGATATGAAAAGATAGAATCGATGAAAGTTGTCATGCTTTATTATTGTCTACTGACTTAATACTTAGAGGGTTACATAATTACAGTATTTATACCTTATTATACACTGTACCAGAAATTAAATCATGTAAATCTAGATAAATTCGAATCTACTAGCAATCTCCTAAAATCTCCTACAATCTTTGGTAGTTTGAATATTTGAATCATATCTCAATTACTTTAAATCATATCTTCATTTTGAATACTTTAAATCATATCTCAACCGCCTTTGGGTTGGGTGGGGGAGGTGAACAGAACAACAAACTGAATATTAATTAAAGAATTGGACACTCACTGATTTCCACCAGCTTTTTCTGCAATGGGCCTTTCTGAAATAGTAGTCTCTCTTCTTCTTGTACAACCTTTCGTGATGCTTCAAAAGCTCGACTATTTTCCTTTGCACTAGAAAATAGTTGTTCTTCTTCTTCCTGGTCAAAACCAGACATTTTTTAAGGATTCATGTTTTTTAGTACCAACTGCAACTAACCATTCATGAAATATGAGATTGTACCTCAATATTAACTCCACTGACTACAGTGACATCGTTAAGTTGTTCGATGCTTTGATCCGAAAATGCCCCAGATAGTTTTTGCTTCTTACTGTTGGGTACACGTCAATTGTATTTGAAAAGATCGATCTTAATTGTGAATCAACCCATTTATTTTTAAATATTCCAAAACAATTTTCACTTCCTGTATTTAAGACGAGAAAAAGTAGATTCACCTTGGTAGGGGTGGTGAAGAGCCAAGTGTTTCAAGAGGCTTCTTCTGGCCAACGACTGCTTTTATTTGAGGTGCCCTATCTTGCATTCCAGGAGTAGCTGCAGAAGGCACCTGAGAGCTTAACTGCAAAATAAAAAAATAATAATAAAAGATAAATAAAGATTTAATTAGTCTGCAAACAACTGATACATCATAAGAGCAAGCCAGGAGCATAAGATTGAGCGATGTACATTCTTCACGAAGATATATAAAGACAAAGCAGAGCAGGTACCTATTCAACCATTTAATACATATATTAACTTAAATAATTTATTGCAACAGAGAAGATTATGCTAGGAAATGGATGAACCAGGAATAAAGAAAGTTATAACATGGAAAATGAAATATTAGGACAGAGATTCAAAAAGGTATAAGATTACTGACTGACATAAGAAATATACAGTCGAACATAAGCATGCAATTGACTTTTACATAACTAAATGTAGGACTAACGTACAATCTAGCAATGCATACCACAGCATTAGAGTCATCTAGAGAACTGGCATCAGAAGAAATTAAATTTTCCGCGTTGGCAGATGTTGGAGGCATAACATTGTTTATAGGAAAACCCATTTTAGAAGTTTGTTTTTCAAGAGCGTCCTTCCCAATTCCAGGGGTTGTTTTAACGTGTTCAGCCTGCATGCTAGAAACAGAAGACAATCCCTGCAAATTTGAAAGTTGGGGTTTGTTCTGCTCAGAAACCTGACCAGAAGATTGTTGTTTAATGTAACTCATCGATGACAAAGGGCCTGTATTCTGCTCTTTACTTATTGAGGATTTCCAAGAAACTGAATTTTGCTGTGCAGTTAAGTTGTTGTGCAAGTGTGGAACATTTCCACCCTGCACTCGCTTGGAATCATCTATGGTAACTTGCCTGCCAAGATTAGGAGCCTGCTGGGGAATTTGCTTCACGTGACCCTCGTGAGTTTGGGGTTTAGAAGACAATGAAGAGGCATTTATGCTAGACCCAGTATACGGGTGGTAATTACCACTGTTTCCATACATGGAAAACGATTTCTGTTGTAAGTGTAGCTTCTGCTTCTCGAGTCCTGAAACAGGAACTGAGGAGCCTTTCCTTTCCTGAATGGTGCCTGAACTAGATGAAGTCCATTGATTTACACCATCAGGTCGCTGTTCGACTTCTCGTGAAGATTTTATATTCTTGTCTATCGCAGGGTACCATGAACTACTCTGCCCTTGGGATGCTGAAGAAGGTATGTACGATTGAACTGCAGGAGAATTCATGCCTTTCTGATGAAGTCGTGCAAATGGTCGTGAATCAGAGAAATTTGGTGCACCGGCACCCATAGATGGCATTCTAGGAGAAGGTTGCCTTACTGAAGGTGGAGGCTGTAAATGAAAAGGTTTAAGACAGGAACCTGAGGAAGGTAACAAAACTCACGGACAGACTCTGATTTAAAGTAATCAATATATACATAATAAAACCCTCATGACAAGAAATCAAGTTAGTGCTGACCTGAGATTGTACTTGACTAACTGCTAATCTAAGCATCTGATTGCCCACAACACTCCTGATGCACCGGACAAAATCATCTTTGTTCATTTCATTCCTCTAAAATACAAGTTACAATTATATGAGACAGCCAATACAACAAAGAATTATCCAACCATTTTTTAAGATATGTCAGAATTTAAAAAGATAGAATAGAGAAAGGCACCATCACACGAACAAGACCCCATGTATAGAGTATAATCTGAGGGTACGTACCAATAGACTCACATATGGAACGATGCATTTATAAAGAATTGACTTAAAACCTGCATACTACGAAGGAATATGAAATGACACAGATCAATGTGGTAAATAACAACCCTACGACTTCTCCAGTTAGTCCTTCGCTTAGGGCGGATTCTTAACATCTAACTTAAATTTTACATGTGATGTGACAGTTATAAGCAATAACAGAATGTCCTCTACTCGTGTACTTACTTTCAATTTGTTGAATAAACTCTGAAGTTGCATGCCTCTGTCTTTATCAAGCTGAGGCATCAATACAGGCATCAACGAGGCAAAAGGTACCTGTTTGCTACGATTTAATGAGTTATTTGCCTGTTCCGAGACCATTGCCTCCTGATTACTCATTTTTTGTAACTTCAAGTATTGAGATTCATTGTCCGGGTACTGCATTCTGTTTGAGTTATTCATGAGGATTGGAACTTGTTCAGAAACTTGCAGTCCTTCTGTTTGAGAAAACTGAGCAGAAACTTGTTCTACCTCCCCTTGTTCACGATCTGCATGGGGTTGGTTCTTTGAAGCTCGGAGGGGGGCAGCATTGTGTTGCTGCTGATTTTCAGGTACTGATGTACATCGCTCTGGTTCCATCAGAGATGAATGTTGTTCTTGCTTCAAACGAAAATTTTGATCTAGTTGGACATGAGATTCAGTATTTTTATTTTGACTAGAAGCTTGTAGCAAGAGGCCAGAAGAACCATTGTTCCCACCAGAGAAGGCTACATATTTAGTCACAGATATCAGATCAATTTCAATATGAACACCCAAAGCCACTCAATGGAAAGTTTTATGCTTGGGTTCAAACACATTTTTTTATTACAGTTACAGCAAATTTTCATCATTTACTGGGAAAAAAAGTGCAGTTTGAGCAAATATATGACAAGCCAGTATAAGATTGGAGGAATTGAAAAGCCAGAAGAAAGCTCATTATAAGAAAATGCGTGAAAAAAGTGGGAACCTAAAATTGCAACATTTCAAAATCAATGGTAAACTGTGAAATCTTCCCAAAAGTTTCCACCAAAACAATACTAAAGCGGCCATTTTCTCGCTGATTTGATATCCAACTCATTGGAACCAAGACATGAATCATTTTAACTTGAGAAATAGCAATTTATTCACTTAAATTTATATACCACAGGAAAGGCATTATACGTGTATTTAACAAGAAACAATCGGATATCCAGGTAAAACAAAATTTGAACCTCCAAATAATTAAAATCATAGAAAATTTCTTTCATAGACAGCACATTTCCGCAAATGCACATTTTGATATGATCTCTACGAGTCTTAGCCTCTCTTGTTATTTATTCTGACCAAGATCTATGTACAAAAGTTCAACTTCTAAGTTTAGGCTGAAGTATACCTGTATCTGATGCATTAGTCTGGGAAACGGTCGGAACATCACCTTCTATCTCTCTATTCGAGGCAGCCTGAAAAGCCGCCACAACTGCACCTGAATGCATTGTTTCATCCTGTTCATAGCCAAATGTCCAATATGATAAAGATTTACAAATGATATCCCCTCAATCCTAGGATAAACATTTACACACAAGCAATAAAAGATACAAAACCTCGTCATCTTCCAGAAGCTTCATAATATAGGGGTCCATAACAAGCTATATGTGCAATCAACCGGGGTAACGTTAACTTGCTTGCAGGCAATCCAACAATATAACTTCTAAAAATTGCTTAGAAGACACTGCTTTGAAAAGTGCCTTACACAACGACAAATCTACTTTCTCTGAGGAAGAAAGACAAGATTAAACAAATTAGGATGATACTAAAAACGAAACCTAGTTATTTCTATTCATCCCATTGCCATTAGATAGAAAACCAAGTTAGCTAGCTTGATCTGGTTTATATAATTACAATTGAATTTCCAGTTGATTAGCAACATTTGCAGTTCAACATAATACAAGTTTAGATACCCTGAGTTTATACCATCACAAGAAGAGTGCTCAATTTAATCCTGTGATGCCAAAAGAAGAAAATTGCTAGGAATCTTAGTAGGGTAATATTAGGAACATCAAAAATCCTAGTCATTAGTTAAGGAGTTTGTCAATAGAATGATAAATAGAGTATGTTGGAGGCTTTCGGCAAGCAAATTTGAACGGAGAGAATTCAACCACTTGAATGCTTGGCCCTTATATTATTCTTCGGATCTTGGTATGCTATTTCTTCCATGAAGCAATAATATATTTCGAATTCCTCTCCAACTTTTTTCTGAGTTACCATTTCCAATTCTGGTTATATTACTATCAAATTGGTAATAGAGCGTGCCAGTCCTTGAGAATGGATTCAGAATCTAGAAACACATCGCTGGAATAGTGCAATATGCGAAGGAATTCTTCAGATATTTAACATCAATCAAATTGAATAAAACAGAGGCAATGACAGCTTTCACAAAAGATTAAAAGCAGCTAGAAGAAACCTGTATTCTTTAAGAAAAGAACCTCCAATTGGAGAAGTGAGGTGTAATCACTACTCTTCAAGAAGACAACCAAATCAGCGAAGTGAAACACAGATGAGATAGAAGGAAGAAAGTGAAAAAGAAGGAAGTGATTCACAATGATAAAAAGAAGAAACACGCAGAAGAACAAAAGCAAAATTTATAAGGAAACAAGCGAAAAGGAGAAATAATCAATCGATGATCAAACACAAATTTGAGAAAAAGTACAAATAAACGCAAAGAAGAAGATTCAAAACCAGCCATAATCTAGGGTGAGTCCAGAGAAAACAAGCAATAGGAGCACATAGCTGACATGAATATTAAGAATCAAAATCGAACGGCCTGAAAACAGGGGAATTGCAAGAAAAAGAGTTGAATCTTCAGAAGAAATGGAGATACCAGCGGCGCAGGGAGAGAAAGATCCGAGACGTTTCCCCGTGTTTGCAGAAATGGAACCACCATTGCAGTTTGCAGAAGAAGAGCTTCTCGCGCCAAATTTCTCCACTATTAAAAAATGACATCCTAATAAATTTAATAATATTCTTTTTATATAATCTAATATTCAACCCCATTGGAGGAAGAATTATGCGTTTATAATCAAAAGAATATTCTCTAAGTTCTGTTGGGGAAACCCAAAGCTACTCATAGTGGACAATATCATATCAGATAGTTGTGTTCATCTAACATGGTATCAGAGTCATGCCATAAATTTAGTCTTGGTAAATTTTCAAATGTCCAACAAAGGACTCCAAAAGAAAAGGAGTCAAGCCTCCTCGAAGGCATAGTAAAAAATGACTAAGACTCTAAAAGAAAAAGGAATCGAATCTCGATCAAGGGGAGGCGTACTTTATTCGAGGGAAAATGTTAGATGATGAAAGTTCCCATCGACTAATTTAGGGAATAATCAAAAGAATACTCTCTTCAATGTTACGGGGGCATTTTGGGAACCCAAAGTAAAGCCACGAGCACTTATACTCAAAGTGGACAATAACACTCCAGTTTAAATTTTCAAAAAAAAAAAATAATATGTTGTATTTATAAGTGGACTTGGAAAATATAGCAAAAGAAGTCTTTCATGAGCGAATAGTTTCTTTTCAATTCTATGTAATTTATGTTACATGTAGAATCATTCAAATTCGATATAATCAATTTTATTTGTGGACTGATTCAAATCTCAAACAACTGTTCTTTGTTTAAGATATTCGACCAATAAAGTAATTCAAATCTTACTGCCCTTGTAATGATTTTCATATCACCTTTATAAATCATCTCCAAACTTTTTAATGTTACTTTTAAAAATTTATGAAATTTTTTTTAAACATAATAGTAATTTATTTTTGAAATCTTAAAAAAAATTCAGATCTATATTAATGAAACTTTTTAAAAGTTGAAGGGTATTTTTAAAATAAAATATTAACAATTAACAATAATTATTTTTTTTACATTTTTGAATATTTTTACTTATCATAGTAAGTATACTATATAATAACTTCAAAAAAATATATTTTATTATTATTATTTTCATTAACGTATTCGATTTTCTCAATATCCATATCAACGATGAACGAGTTTAAGAAATTTTTCTTTACATATATCAATGAAATAGCGTATCGGTAATGTATTCTATATCACGTTTTATGTTATTGATATAATTATATAAGTGAAACATGAGTATAACTCTACTAGTTAACATATATATCTTCAACCAACAAAAGCGTGGACTTTCTATAGCAACATCAAGCCAATAGGCTAGAACTTTACTGATTGATATTCTAAATATTTCCTAGCAATGATAACAAGCCACAAACATTACAATTCAGACGCTGTCGTACAGTTAACGACTCAAAGAACGACGATAGTGATGTAGAAGAAGACAAAGACAACGACGGCGACGATAACATAGAATCCCGAGACGACGTTGAACTCACAATCAGAGCTAAGAAACGAAAACGTTTCCAACTTATCATGGTGACCAAAACAATCTTCTAGTCAATAGTTCTTGCTCGGGCACCTCTCCTTTATTGATTGATATTCTAAATGTTTCCTAACAATGGTAACAAGCCAAAATCCGCTTAATTTGCCAAGCATTACAACTCAGACGCCGTCGTACAGTTAACGACTCGAAGAACGAAGATGGTAATGAAGAAGAAGACAAAGACAACGACATATAATCCCGAGACGACGTCATGAACTCACAATTAGAGCTAAGAAACAAAAACGTTTCCAACTTATCATGGTGACCAAAACGATCTTCATTACTATAGTCAATAGTTCTAGCTCGGGCATCTCTTCTATCACTCTTCTTGCTTCTCCTCCAAAACCGAAGCCTTATTCGGGGTCGAGGTCGGGTTTTCGGCTGTTCGATGCACAGTTTTGGTAACCCGAGACTGAGAACGGCGGGCGGAGGGGTGAGGGGCGGAAGCATGTCTTGAGGGGGTGGATCTTTGGGAGTTCCTGGCTGTGTTTCCCATTTGAAAGGGATACCTTCAGGTGTTCCACAATAGTAAATGCTGCGAGATGAACAACCAATTGAAGATGTTCTTGATATCACTTTGTTCTTCACATCCCAATCAAATGTTGCATTCATTTTCTCTCCTTTTCCCAAGAAAATGAACAGAATTTGATTGAATTTGTGTGGGGATTTGGTTTGTTTTATGGGAATTTGAGTTGTTTTTGAAATTTTTTGTGAGATCAAGGGATTGTTCTTGGTGTTATTTATATACAGAAATGTGGATTCAATTGGAAGAAGCTAATTTTAAGGATTTTGGTGAAGTTTCGAGGCACATGATCATGTTCTTATGAGGATTAATTTGTAAGTTATTTATTTGACTTTATACTTTCCATTTCTTCTCTTCTTGGAATTTTAATTTCGACCCTAAAAATAAAATTTAACGTATGACTTTTGTGATCACAATTCTCGAGAGATCAATCATCTAACGCTACAATTTTACATCATTAAAAAAAATACTGTAATCAATGTATACTTTTGATCGGTAACGACGTAAGTCCACTGCTAGCAGATATTGTTCTCTTTATGTTTTCCTTCGGGGCCCAAAGTGCGACATCACATAATCGACCCCCCTTCAGGGCCCAGCATCCTTACTTGCACTCGTTCCTTTCTCCAATCAATGTGGGACCCCACCAATCTGTAACGACCTAGGCTCACCGCTATTAGATATTGTCCTCTTTGGGTTTTCTCTTGGGGCCTAGCGTGGGACATCACAATCAACCCCCCTTCGGGGCCCAGCGTCCTCGCTTACACTCGTTCCTTTCTCCAATCGATGTGGAACCCCACCAAATCCACCCCCTTCTTTGGCCTAACGTCCTTACTAGAACACCGTCTTGTGTCTACCCCCCTTCGAGGAACACAAGAAGGCTGACACATTGTCTGGTGTCTAACTCTGATACTATTTATAAACAACCCATACCCACTGTTAGTAGATATTGTCCTTTTTAGGTTTTTCGTTTCGAGTTTCCCAGGTTTTTAAAAAGCGTCTACTAGGAGAAGGTTTCCACACCCTTATAAAAGGTGTTTTGTTCTCCACCCCAACTAATGTGGGACATCACACGATCTTTGGAGTTATATTAACTACATAAATTAAAACATTAAATTTTTATAAATGTATCAATTTACACTTTCTATTGAATTTCATCTGAAAAACGTTAATTTACACATAAAAACGTTTTTCAAATTGATTTATTTATGAAAATTCTAGTGTTTAATTGATATAATATAAATTTACATACGCGTAGAATAACGTTTTTCAAATGATATTTAAAATATTTTTGATAATACAATTATTGTTTACAAAATATAAATTATTGACATATTTATATGGTTAAAAATTACTTTTTCTCGTCATTGAGCTCGGTTTACAACGATTAGGTTACATATTTGTAACAATTTAATCCTATTATAAAAAATAGATCATCAAAATCAACACGAAATATATGTTTAGTATCTATGTTTTCATGATTTTACGTACCAATCCAACTTCTAAAGTATAATCCAATTGGAATAGTTGCTACTACAGGTATGCTATGAAGATTTTTAAAGAAATAATTAACATAAAAGCTCTTAAAACGAAATATATTTTTATTTTTAAGAAGCTTATACCATACAGGGTAGAGATGCAATTACATGTAATCGATTTAGATTGAGACATGACTGTGGTAAAACCTAAAACTTGATTTTTAAATTTCCACTTCTTTTCTTTTATTTTCGTCTCCACAACTGGTACTTCCTGATACTGTATTTGAAGCAGTTGTTCGAATTCCTTATGATATGCAACTGAAACAAGTTCTTGCGAATGGGAAAAGGGGCGGTTTGAATGTGGGGGCTGTTTTTATTTTACCCGAAGGGTTTGAATTAGCCCCCGATCGTATTTCTCCCGAGATTAAAGAAAAGATGGACAATCTATCTTTTCAGAGCTATCGTCCCACTAAAAAAATATTCTTGTGATAGGGCGCATTCCTAGTCAGAAATATAGTGAGAGTTATTCATAAATTTGAATAAAATTTATAGAGTTAAAGTTTTGGGAGTTTATACCGGATTACATTTGAAAATAATATGTTATTTATAATGAAGAGTCTAAATTGATTTATTTATGAAAGTTAATGTATTTAATTCATATGATCATATATAACCTTTTCAAATGAATAGTGTAAATTGATATACTAACCAAAGTTTATGGTCATGTTTGTCCATCACGATCAAAATTAACTTAAATTTTCTAACATTACATCGTCACTTCGAATATAAATATTTTAGTTTGTTGTAAGATTGCAAAAACTCCAATAAGCACATCTACCAAACTTAACAAGGATGAAAAAAAAGTAAAATGTGTAGATTTAAAATTATCAAGGTATGATTGGATCTTTACTTTACTCGAGTGCTAGTAGACCTGATATTATATTTAGTGTATGTCTTTGTACTAGGTTAGTAGACTTGATATTATGTTTAGTGTATGTCTTTGTGCTAGGTTTCAATCTTGTCCGAATCTCATTTATGTTAAAAAAATATTTAAATATTTGTTTGGGACTATTAATTTAAGATTGTGGTATCCTATAAAATGTTAAGTTTAAATGGGTAAAATATTCTGATGCGGATTTTGCGGTAAGTGATCTGGATTTTACGAGAAATTTACTTGATCATAAAAGTACTAGTGAAACTTGTCAATTTCTTACGGATTAGTTGTTGTATTCAAATTCTTTGGATGAAACAAACTGCGATTTTGGATTAAAATTCGTTGGAACTTATAAAAATCTCACGTTATAAAAAGAAATCAATCAAACAAAGCATTTATTGACACCTCATAGTTATATCCAAACTTATTTAGAAGTTCTTTTTAGAACATGGAGTAGCGTTAAAAATATAATTTTTAAAAAAATTTAATGTTTTTGAAATTAAAAAAAATAATAAAAGTATTAATAAAACTTTTAAAACACTTATTTATTTTTTTAACAGAGTACTAACTATTT